CTTTTTTTTTTTTTTTTTCCAGTATGTACTTTTTTCCCTCAAAAGGTTATGCAAAAGATTATCTCTTTCTTTTCCTGATATAGTTTTTGGTGAAAGAGAACCCGAAATTGTTGAGTATTTGAATGAAACGGGTTTAAATGAAAGTAAACCGGATATTGACACTCACGTTGTAGTAGTAGTTATTTTACTGAATTATTTTTCTTTGTATTTTATTTGGTTATACAATTATCATCTGTGTAGAGCTTCGTGTTAAGTTTTATGAGTTCGCGTATTAGGGTTTATTTAAGGTTTATGAATCAGGGTTCATATATAATTATGAAAAAAGTCATCTTTTTGGAGTGGAGAGACTCGGGACTCTCAAAGGAGAAGCTTTTTTATTTGGGTTTTCCTCCTGGTGTGTGTTACCTGCTTTCGGGCCCAACTAATCCAGGTTTGTGGCGGGAAGTCCGATTTTGGGGTAAAGCGCTCTTTAGCAAAAGCGACTACATTCCTAGGGGTCGCTATCGAGACCTTTGTTTATGGACGAGGGAGAAGTTGTTATTATGATTTTAAACCTTTTGATCCTTGTACAACGTGGATATTTGGTACTTTGGTAGGCGCACGTTACGAGTTTGAAGCTAGAAAAAGTGGATTTCTCGGTTATATAAAAAAACATTTGGGCCTTTAGTTTGAATAGCAAAATTCATATAAATAGTTTTTTGGTGCATAGTTTGAAACTCAGTGGATAATGGGCCCGCCCCTCTCCACTTAAATACCAAACTTCTGCCTATGGTAGGGCTCGAACCCCATGATGTGCGCCTAACTCACCACAAGCTGTACTCTTACCGTTAGGCCAAAGCTTGTTGGGGCTCATATAAACAGCTGAGAACTTCTTTATTTTTCCTCTGAGCCTTTTATTTCTTTCTTTTTGAGTTGGAAATGCTTATGCTGCATGGAAACAGTCTTAGTGAAGGACCTTTAGGATAAGGCAGATAGGGGGTGCTCTATAGTGGTCCTAGCACTAAGGATGCGCAGTTACTGTATTTCTGGCTAGATACCTGCCTTTTATGGATCATCCCTTTGGCTCAAAGTGATTACTGTGTCTCTTAGAAATATTGGGGCTTCATTGTGGTGTTTAAATGATTCTGTGTTGGTTAACTAGCTGCAGTCAGATAACATTCACTAGTGGGGGACTGAGAACGGAGGGGCAGCTGTGGGGGTGTTTGGCCGTGGGGCTTTTGATTTTGTAGGGACTTCCTGACACTGCTTGAAATATGATTTATAGCTAATCACATGCTTGAATATGCCAAAATTCAAAACGTTAACTTCTTGGGTGTGAATTGAGTTTTAGAGGTATTTTTTGGGTGGGTTAGAGCGGGTGTGGGGGGTGTTAAGTGCAGATCAAGATAAAGTCGTGGAGTGCAATTGGCTAAAGGAGTTAAAAATGAAGTTAACTTGCTAAAGTTTCTTAAACCTTCTGTATGCATATGCGCATCTCATGGAACCATGAATTTACAAATTATGGGGATTATGCTATCTAGCATTGGTGGGATGACACTTAACTTATGTATCAGTATTGTTTTGATCTTGTTAGCTCTACAAAAAATTACTATCTTTTATGGTTAAGCATTATCTTACTGGTTTCTTCTTGTCGTCCCTTGCTTATTTGGTTATTGTGGAGATGAATTATGTTGGATCTGGGAAAAGTCATTTGGTATCTTCTATATTATATATTTAACTGTGTACACTGATGCAGATATGAGGATGAGCCCATAGAGCCCGAGCCTGATGTAAGATAATTTCGTTTCATGCTCCTCAGTATTGGAATGTAATTCGTGTTGCGTAAACAGTACTAACTATCACACATTATTGGGTTTCATTGTCAGGAAGGAGCAGAGGTCGAAGAAGATAATGTCAACAATGAGGAAGTGCCAGACCCCCTTTTGGGTGAAGGTGAGGAAAAACCAGAGCAGGAGCCTGTGGAACGACCTCGGAAAACATCCAAGTATATGACAAAATATGAACGTGCAAGAATCCTGGGTACTCGAGCGCTCCAGATCAGGTCCTTGCCTTTTACTCCCCAATTAGCCATTTTGTAGTTTGAAAAATTGGGGTTTTCATAACTTGTGAGTTCTTTTTGTGCTCATGCAGCATGAATGCTCCTGTTATGGTTGAGTTGGAGGGTGAAACTGATCCACTTGAGGTGAGACTGTCCTATTTTTGTTATTTTACCTGCTCTCAGTGACATATCAAGAAAAATTATATCTGAAGTCATGGCAAAACAAGAGTCTGTCTTATAAAGTTTGTATAATGTCGAGTAAATCTTCTTTATGTGCATCTGATTGCAATGAAAGAGCTCCGAGAAAAGAAGATACCTTTCACAATTCGTCGATATCTGCCAGATGGAAGGCAAGACTTCCTATTTTATGCTTGGTATCTTCTGTTGTCCTCTCACTACCCATTGTTCCTTTCTTAAAATAGCTTTGTTTTTACCAGTTATGAGGATTGGGGAGTAGATGAATTGATCGTTGAGGATACATGGAAGAGACAAGTCGGAGGAGCTTGAAACATGTTTACATGCTGTCTGAATTGTCTACCTGTAGGCTCGTGAAGAACTATTCGGTCGATCAACTTATTCTCTATGAAATCCCAAACTAATTGTGCTTTGTGAACAACTATTGATGTAGATAAATGCTTGTGTACTCCCTAAAGATATTACTACTGGTTGTCACCTCTTTGTGTTTAATTTAGACTGCAGCTTTTAGTTGGTATCTTAAAATGGTATTCTGCCATTTATCTTCTTGGGAAAGCACAGGTGCTTACGCCTGCTGGCTATGGAACACGAGAAGGTTTTTTTTGAAGGATAGTCAAAGTATACCAAGTTTTTAAAATTTAGTTGTCTTTAGAATTGAACTTCTCAGAATTAAACTTCAGACATTCGGCTATGAAGTTTGAAACTTTAGACCTTAGATCTAAACTTTGGTTGCAGTTTAATTTCAGACCTCCACGCGGATGTTAGTAGAGGTTAATTTATTGAGTTTATAGATTTTGAATTTTATATAAGGTTAATTATTGAGTATTGGCTAAAATATTTTTACATAACTAAGTGGACTTCTGAATACAAATACATTATTGTGGCCAAAGATCTGAATTTTGCGGAATCCGTAGCTAGCATTTTAGCTCCGTTTCTAGAAGTTAGGCTCTCCATAGTCTTCTAACTTCAGATTCGAAAACGGCACAGGGCCAAATATATCTCTGTATTTTTGAAAATTGTCTAAGAATATCCCTCGTTATACTATTGGGTTATCTATACCTCTGTCGTCATACTTTGGAACAAAAATACCTTTATTTTGGATGGAGTGCCACGTGGCAACACCAGATGAAAGCGACCTATTTTTTTTATCCGATCCATTTAAAACAATCTACCACACGACCCAATTTTCATCCAAGGCTAAACTTAGCATCTTTTGTTCTAAATCATTTTTTTTGTAAAAACTGAAAAACAATGCTTTAAAAAAATATTTTTCAGCATTTTTTAAAGTATTTTTTTTGTAAAAACTGAAAAAAAAAGATTTTGCAAAATATTTTCGTTTTTTTTAAAAACTAATGCACCTGTAGTCCACTACTTTAGGAAAGTCTTTTTTTTTTTTTTCCTTTTTTGCAAAATCTTTTTTTTTTTCTTCCAGTTTTTACAAAAAAAAATTCTGTTTTTACAAAATATATGCTTTAAAAAATCAGAAAAATATTTTTTTGTAAAAACTGAAAAAAAAAACTTCCCTAAATATTGCAACATACAGTAAATGTAAATTAAAGGTTGGAATCTACATACAAATACGTAACATGATTACATAAAACTTTTTACCTCAAGATCTTACATAAAATTATTTGAAAACCAATGCGATTTAGAAGTTTCTATGTTATTAGCTTTTTAAATGGTCTTTATCTTAATTACTCACATTGCTTTCTTGAACTTTTTATTAATTATTATTACTCTAAGACTTTTCATTAGAAACTTGATCATGCAAAGGAATTGAGAATTTATCTATCTAAATTAGTTTGTATCTCTATTTTAATTTTTTAAAATATTTTTGAATGAAAGTGTAGACAATAAATTTGCGTCAAGAAAATAATATCAAGACCGAAAAATATTGCAACAATCGTAGTATTTTATTTCATATAGTTTGAGTGTTACAATCTCTATGATTTCTCTGATTCTTCTTTCTCAATATAAATTCAAGGGCCTTTGAGCTTGATCTTGAATTTGAATTTGATTTATCCGTCGCGAACACTTTGGTTGTTGCCACGAATTGTATCACGAACAAGTAGCTTTGATCTTGAATGTTGTATTTAATTTGACTTCGTTCTTGTTCTAGAATACTTGAAATCTGTGTTGAAGTGCTTGAATGCTTGAACACTTGCAGTTTGCAGAGAATTGTGGCCTTTGATCCACAAGCTCCCTTGTGTCTTCTTGTTATAACTTCTGGTCTTTTTTTCTGGGTTATGAAGACTCTATTTATAGTTGTGGGAGGGAAGAGTAGTGATGAGAACAAACTCTTTCCGACCAATCAGATTGAAAAGTGATAAGGCCCCATTTGATTGGTCAGAACATGCCACTTGCACACGTGGCGTGATTTCATTGGGCTTTTAATTTGACTTGGCATGCCTTGTCATTTTGACACGTGGTACGATCCTATTGGATCTTCTATTTGACTTGTCATGCCACGTCATTTGACACGTGGCGCCAAACTAGGCCTCTAGGAAGATGGCATATTGGGCCTAATAAAGTGTGCTCATCATTTGTAGCCCAACTAAATGGACTAGCCCAATGAATTTTGACTTCTTTATTTAACCCATATATATTGGACTTATATAATTAATCTAATTATATTAGCCCATAATATTTATTTGGACTGAAATATATTTAATTGAGATTAAATCAAATTTTTTTATGGATTTAAATTCAATAAAATTTCGATTGCCTACAAATGCCCCCTACTTCAAGACTTGCAAAATATACATTTTGATGAATTTGGAAGACAAGGATTGAAGTAATATCGAAGCGTCATTCCTTCTCTTTTTACGTAAAACTCGTCCCAAATCATCTTACAAATACTAAACACTTGAAACACTAAAGTTCTAATCCTCAGTCACGTGAGAGTTGTGATTGTTTGCTCATGTCCCCTTTGATTTTGGAGATTCAAAAGAACTCTTATTTTTATTAATATTATTTTAGTTCAGAACTACACTTCACATGTTTAGTACAGCTCATGTAAGGCCATAAATTGAAATTCAGCTCAATTCATAATTAATGCAATTTAATTGGCCTTAAGAAGTTTTCACCTAACTCAATTCCAAGCTATTTCAAACTTGCTTTACCATGAATATTTGTCTTTAGGAGTTGACCAGGAATATTTGTCTTCAAAGTTTGCTACCGAATCCTTGTTGATAATAAATTCTTACTGCCGTCTTTCAACTATCCAAGTCCTTTTCAAAGACTAATTGTCGCAACGTCCCATATTGAAATCACTATATGACAACTACCTTTTGCTTTTCCTATATATATGGCATAATGCTCTACGCTTGTCATCATTAATTTGCTGCCTTTGCGAGCTATTTTGAGTCCTCTTTTTCTTTTGGCGATTCTGACTTAGCTGCGTCACGGTAATTTCTCCTCCTTTTACTTTGCGTTCGTTTCTTTCCCTTTTGTAGGTAATGGAGATATCTTCATCAACAAATTATANCAACAGCATATAGAAGGATCAACTCCATAACATCATACAGAAGGATCCAATCCATAACCGCATATAGAAGTATCAAAAGGAGTATCAAATTTGCAATAACATATAGAAGGACCAATTCATGGTAACTTATTAAAGGACAAATCCTCAACAACATATAGAAGGATCTAATCCGTGACGAGACCAACTCAAGGTATAAAGGGACTTAAATATCCACCTTAAGGGACTGGAAATCATAGTTCCTTTTAAGGTCAAACGTGCAAAGAGGCCAACTTAAGGTGCAAAGGGACTTAAACGTTTACCTTAAGATTGGAAATCATAGTTCCTTTTAAGGACAAATACGCGAAGAGGCCAACTTAAGGTGCTAAGAGACTAACATATCCACCTTAAGATTGAAAAATTAGAAAGCTTCAATTCGAAGACTTGGTGGACTTGACGACATCGACTTGAACATTTATCGGACTTTGAAGACTTGGTGGACTTTGCAAACTTCAAATTGAATATCGACAAACTTGAAGATTTGACGGACTTGAAAGATTCGACGGACTTTGACGCTTTGGCCTGAAGAGCGGTGGACTTTTAAACTTCAATTTGAAAAATTAGCAGACTTGAAGACTTGGAGGGCTTAAATAATTCAACTTGAAGCCGACGAATTAGAGGACTTCAACTTGAAGATCGAAGGACTTGAAGACTTCAACTTGAAGATTTGGAGGTCTTGAATACATTAACTTAAAGACTGGCAAACTTGCAGACTTCAACTTGAAGGACAGTGGACTTGAAGACCAACAAACTTGAAGGTTTGGCGATCATGAAGACATAACGAATCCCCGGACTTCAATGCAAATGCTTGGAAACCTCCTAGAAGATATTAATCATTTCATTGAAGACACCAATTTACCATAGCGGCTTGCCCCCTTTAAATCAAATGGGATCCAAAGTTTAGGAGAATGAATTACATTCCGTCGTACTTTATTCGGACAATGATTAGGGGATTATGTATCTTTTGAACTTATGCGACTGAACTCAGAATGAAACTCTAAGCTGCCTACGTACCTCGGTGAAGAGGATCAAATCATACCGTAGTTCAGAATGGGTGATTTTTTTTATGTCCTAACTTTTGCCTAGGCCGCGTCTTTTGCGGTTTTCAAGCTAGCAGACTTTTTTTCTGGGTTAGACTTATGCGGGCCAGGAGTGTAGGAACATGCAGTTTAGGCTCGTGCATCAAGGAGCGTAGCGACTTGCAATTTAAACTCGTGTTTTGAGGAGCTTTGCAACTTGAAGATTTTTGCTCGAATTTGAAAAGCTTTATGACCTGCAGTTTAGGCTCATGCGTCCAGGAGCGTTGTAATTTGAAGATTTAGCTTGCAATTCGAAATGATTCGCTACTTTAAGACTTGCTCAATTTTGAAGAGTTTTGCAACTTGAAGTTCTACTCGAATTTGAAGAGCTTCGTGACTTGAAGATTTAGCTCAAAGTTGAAGAGTTTTGCAACTTGAATACTTTGCTCGACTTTGAAGAGCTTTACAACTTGAATACTTTGTCAAATTTGAAGAGCTTTACGTCTTGAAGTTTGGCTCGAATTTGAATAAATTTGCGATTTGAATTCCTTTCTCGACTTTGAAGAGCTTTCAACTTGAGTCTTTGCTCGTATTTGAAGAGCTTTGCGACTTGAACACTTTGCCCAAATTTGAAGAGCTTTACAACTTGAAGACTTTGCTCGAATTTGAAGAGCTTTGCGACTTGAACACTTTGCCCAAATTTGAAGAGCTTTACAACTTGAAGACTTTGCTCGAATTTGAAGAGCTTTGCGACTTGAACACTTTGCCCAAATTTGAAGAGCTTTACAACTTGAAGACTTTGCTCGAATTTGAAGAGCTTTGCGACTTGAACACTTTGCCCAAATTTGAAGAGCTTTACAACTTGAAGACTTTGCTCGAATTTGAAGAGCTTTGCGACTTGAACACTTTGCCCAAATTTGAAGAGCTTTACAACTTGAAGACTTTGCTCGAATTTGAATAGCTTTACACCTTAAA